GGGGGGGGGGGGGGGGGGGGCTCAACTCAGAAAAAAGTCTTGTGCAGCTGGAGAGGAGCTTCTTCAAGAGGAGCTGAGGCTGAGAAGCCTGGGGGCTCGCTGGTGGCTCAGCACTGCTCCATTTCTGGAGGGGGCCCTGGTGGGGGTGGCCGGCTCTAGCCTTGCCCTTCTGGCCCACCCCTCTTGGAGGCGCGGGGACGGGTGGCCAGGGGGCCCAGATTCAGCCCCTCATTCCCAGTTTCAAAGAGAAAGCCCCCGGCCCCTGGCTTCCTTTGGTGAGTTGGGCTGCTCTTTCCTCAGCCTGCTGGAGGGCCAACAGTTGGTGCACAGAAGCTGTACATCGATGTCTGGCGTGAGAGTTCCCCATGCTCAGCCTTGCCCTGGTGGCTCTGGGCACAGACAGTCATTTGCACCTCTGTGGTGGGTGAGCCCGTTGCTTTTCTACTTCAGGAAGTGGCCTTTGCTGGTGTCCGCACCAAGGGAGGAAAGGTGTCCGTGAACTTGTCTGCAACGTCCCCGACATTAATGACCACAGCATTAACTTGCTCCCTGACTGTTTTTGCTACTCTGCTTTCATCTTGTGTGTGTAAAAGAGTGCTGCGTGTGTCCCCAAACCATTGTTGCTCTAGTAAACCAAAGTGCTCGTTCCTCCAGCCCCCCAAGTGCCTGGGACTGCCCTGTGGGGAAGGCCCCCTGGCCACGTTGGGAGATCTGCTGCAAAGGCAGGAGCGGCAGAGCCGGTTTCTCCCACAGGCCCCCCAGCCGGCTTCTGAACACGAGCACTAGCCGTGCAAGGCAGTGGGGTGAGCAGAGCGGAAACGGCGTCTGAGTGAGAGAGGCTGCTTCTTCCCCAGAGTTGGTGGGGGTGAGGGGTGGGATAGAGTTCCGCTTGTTTGAGAGGGGCAGAATATCTACCTTCCCCACTGCTTCCAGCCACCAGGGGCTGAGCGCCTCTCACTTTGGGGGAGAAATGGGTCCCTGAAATGAAGCTGCTGCCCCTGGAATTATGGGCCTTTATCTTCACTTTCGTAAGAATAAAGCACAGCGTGAGAGCACCAGAGGGGGCGAGCTCCTGGCCCTCTGGGAGGCACTGCAGCCTGGGAGCAATGGGAGTTGTGGTAACCTCGAAGATCCTCTCCAGTAGGGAGTGTCAGCTTTGCATGGGGCAGCCCAGTGCAGAGGGAGGGCCTCTCTCTTCACACTGGGTGAAGCTTACATTTGAGCGCAGCCTACGTTTCTGTGCCATTCTCACCCCCACCTGGCAGGAAACTTCATGGCTGTGTTTTCAGAGGGTGCAAAGTTAACCCATGGGGTGGGGGGGCGGTGCTGCAGGTGGGGCTGCTGCCCTTCTGCCAGTGGGATCAGAGCGAGAGGCAGGGTGTCCTCCTGGTGCAGGAAGGTGGGAATCCTGCCCAGAGACACCTCCCACCAAGAAGGAGAGGGACCCCCCCCGCAAGTTAGCCCTGCCGGACTTTCCTGCCTCCGACCCCCCCACCCCTTCAGGGCTGGAGGAATGCGCTCCAGCCCCATTCAGCTGCCTCACTCCCTACGCCCTCTACTCTCTGGGGAGGACGCCGCCCGTTGCGAGGGAGGGGTGGGGCTGCTTCTCCACTGATTGGCCTGGGGCAGGGCGGGGGCCGCCGTGCAGCTTCACCCAAGCAGGCAGGAATTGCCTGTCCATCATGGGCGGAGGCGAGTTGGGGGAGGGGGAGGGGAGCCTGGCAGTGCTCTTGCCCGGCCGCCAGCTGGCCTGGCCCTCCTCCTCCTCCTCCTCCTCCTCCTCTACCCTCCTGTTCCCTCAGTGTTGGCTGTCCTTGGAAGAGTGGCCTCCAGAGTCAGGCCTTGCTTGGCGTCTGCACCAGTGGTGCAGCACTTTTGCGCCAGTCCAGAGCAGAAGAGGGCGAGGGGAACGGGCACTGCAGCACAGCCTCTCACCTGGATACCTGTGACTAGGGGCTTCAGCACAGGCCAGGGCTGGTTAAATAGCACAGCTAATTTCAGATGGGGGCTCAAAGGTAGAAGGAAAGCCCTGGATTCTTGCGGGAGCGTGCTTGGCATTTGTGGAGGCCCCAGCTGCCAGGCTTGGTCTTGCCACAGCAGTCCCAGAGCTGCCTGTGGGCACAAGTTCTGCAGAAGAGGAACTCTTGCTACCAGGGCATAGCCTGGGGGATCAGGGCTTTCTGGCTCCCCCTAGAAGAAGAGAGGCCCTGTTCCATTCATTGCACCTTTTTTTAAAACAGGCAGAAAGGGGAGGATCCTGCCCAGTGAGGTACCAAACCCTTGGGAACAGTGTCCCCTGTAGAGGTCTAACCACGGCACTCCCCTCCAAGCGATGACTTGATTTCTTTTCAGCTTTCACCTCATTGAACACCCAACCAGTTAAAAGATTAACTCATCTCTGCATCTGCCTGGCAGTTACCCCCAGCTTCTGGGGACATTTGAAAACCAGTAATAACTGGGGAGGGGGGTTACAATTGATTCTTTGGAAACAGGAGGCTGACCCAAGCATAGACTTCAGTACCTCCACTTGGGTGGATTAGTCACTTCTCTCTGTTCAGATGGAAGAACGGGGGGTGTCACAGCTGCCCTTTCTTTTTAACTGGATGCTTTTTTGAGGGGGGGGTGAGATTGTCGATGCCAAACGGGCTTCCCTGCAGGGCTAGTGAAAGCCAGGGTGGGGTGGCTGCCTTGTTCAAAGTTGCAGGGAGGATGGCTGGCATCATGAATAGCACGAACCAGTGCCCAGACTTGGTTCCCACTGCACCTGGTGAGTTTTTGGTGGGTTTCAGCCTGCAGAAGAATATGTTGACAGCTGGACCAAATGCTTGCCTGGTCTTTAGAGCAAAGTCCGTTAAACCTGGCAAAGGCCTGCGAGCGGAGTGGGGCCAAGGCGGTCACTGCAGTCCAGAAGAGTTTCCTTGGTTTTCTGAAGCCCCTGAGCTGGGCAAGGAACTAGGGGACTGATGGCCTAGCTGGGGGCACTGCCTCCTCCTTGCCCCCTTTGCTGGAGCCACCAGGCTGGGGAGGGAATGCCACCAAGAAGGGGACTGAGATGTGCTGGCAGAGAGGCCTCCTCTGTGGCTGAAGAAGCCCATTTTTCCCAGGTTCTTGAATGTGGGGAAGCATTTCTTCTTTCACAGCGTCCGTTTGGCCCCCTTTCCTTCCTCTCCTGCTGCATCTGCCCCTCTTGGAAACGGCTTTTCTAGAGCTCAGCCCTGGAAGGTAATCAGGGGCCTGGGAGCAGGGAGAGAGGCCTCCAGCACTGGCACCGCTAGCCTGTAGGGTGGTGTGAATGGCCTAGGAGCCACGGGTGCAGGGACCCATCTTCAGGCTGCAAACAGGAGGAACAACCTGCCCCCCCCGGCAGGGCCCCCCCTTCAAGGCTTTGTTCGCTCGGCGCAGAGAAAGGCTGTGTCCCGCGCCAAGCCTCCCCGGCCACAGACCCCCTTGCTTTTTACCCACCCGCCGGACCCCACACCGGCCCCGGC